TCTCTCTCTCTCTCTCTCTCCCCTCTTTTCGTTTTTACCTTCCTTGTTTTTCCATTGCCTCTTTTCCGCCCCTCAAATTTCGCGTTGAGGTCGCGCTATCGAGGATCACCAATCATGCTAATGGATGTTCAAAAATCGGACTTCAATCACGTGCATCCTCATGGGTGTCGAACATCTTCAACATATTTTGAAAATGTCTTCTGAAACCTCCAAATTTTGTGATGAGAAAGTTGCACATCAAGCCAAAAGATATTCAAAAAATTATGTTAACTTTATAAATAAACAACCGATAGACATATTGTTGACTCAATCTAACTGTTTGCGACTCCGAGATCTGTTTCAGTTCTTAACTAGGCCAAATTGTACATTCTTACTTGCATTTGATATATGTTTGGGGGTCATCCCACATTCGACATTAGCAGGCTCTGTCTCGGTTGATTGGGCGAGTGGATTCCAAGAAGGTCTGCAGACCAACCAGACTCGGTCTTCGGTGATTGAGCGGTTGGATCCCAGCACCTGGGCTTAGGTCACCCGATCGTGCGGACCCGGTCAGACCCGTCGGGGTAGGTCTGGTACCCTACAAATGTTGTATAATTAAAATTTAAAAACTATATGTAGTTAATATCATGAATTGCTCTAATAAAAATGGTTAATTCACCGAGAGACAGAAAGAGGTGCAGGAGGGGCTACAACAGAAGTAGGAATCTGTTGCAGCTTGTAAAGGAAGTGAATAGCACAAATTTGAGCAGTCTTACAATGAAGTTCATGCCCTTTGACTACGAACTTGGCACCATTTATTGTGCCCGACTCTAATCTAAGATTCGAGCTCCAGTTCATATCCCTCAATAATCAGTGAGAAAACCATGCTTGTGTTTTTGGTACCATAACGTACATGTACACTGTGCGTATACATACGTACTATTGCCTATGCGTATGTACCCAGAAACGCACGTGCCCGTACACGTTTCATGTACAATAGAATATATTACGTATATATATTATATAGTATTTATATGATATTATACATATCATTAATAATACTATTATTTCTATTATACTAGTGTGGAAGATAACAAGGAGGTAGCCGAGATGGCGGAGGAAGAAAACAAAGGGGATGAGAAGGAGGAGGAGAAGGAGGAGGAGAAGGAGGAGGAGAAGGAGGAGCCTGAGGACATGGAGGTGGAGGAGATGGTGAAGGAAGACGACTACGGGGAGGAGCAGGTTGAAGACGAGGACGGGGAGGTGGGGCGGATAGAGAAGGGCAATAATGGAGAGGAGCAGGCGGAAGGTAGAGAAGACGGAGAAGAAAGGAAGGTTGTGAGAAATATGGAGGTGGAAGACTACAACGGGGAGTATGAGGAGGAATATGACAATGGGGAGGTGAGGCAGATGGACAACAAAGACAGCCGCTAGGACAAAAGAAGTTTGAAATCCGAAATTTAAAGTGTAAAAAGAAAAGAAAAAAACACACGCGATAGGGGGCGATAAGAAGATGGGGAGATCGAGGGAGTAAGGCGACGATAGAGAGGAGGAGAATGGAGATGAAGGCGGGAAGGATGAGAAGAAAGACGATGACAGGAAGATCACTCAGTTGAAGACGCCCTCTCCCTTCCTCACACGCATACACACACACAAAGCAGGGTCGGGGAGTAACAAGGGGAAAGGTAAGACCTTCCCACCATGATTTTGAAAATCATAGGGAGGAGCGGGTGAAAGAAGATAGTAGGGAGGGAAAGAAAATGGAGAAGGGAAGGTGGTGGAGGATATGGAGGTAGAAGACGACAACGAGGAAGATGAGGACGAAGATGACTGGCACGAAGGAATCGTTGCACCTGCCGCGGCCACTCTTCCGTACATTTGCGACAACAGTACATGCAACAACAGCACACCCCACCCACTTCCCTAAACAACATGTACTTTTTTTTAACTATGAGGAGGAAGATGATTGACCCGACCGTGCAAGGACCAGAGAAGGTCCAAAAAAATAATAAAAATCGAAAAATTCGTAGGGTACCAGCCGGGCCGCCTGGGTGACCTTGTTCCCCGGGGTGGCCTGGCCGTGCAAAGGCCAAAGCAGGTCTAAGAAAAAAATAATAAAAAATGCGGAGCATTCGATTCGGGTCGCCCAACATTACTGGTTTCATCTCAATCACAGTGAGATGGCAACGAACGTGCGAGCGAGATATTAGTAATATGAGTAAGGGATGAATGTGAGAAGAAAGATGATGTGCGTGTCATTGACAACATGCACGAGGGGTATCAGAACTCTAAGAAGAGTCATAGTCAATTGGAACAAGGAATGTGATTGAGATGAAACCAGTAATGTTGGGCGACCCGAATCGAATGCTTTGCATATTCAAATGGTTTGTGCAAGGCAAAGGAACAATAAGGTAAGTTTTTTTTTTTTTTTTAACCTTTTACTCCTTTTTATTAAAATTTAGAATATTGATTCTCCTTGTTATTCAAAGACCTATTATTGGTTAGGCACCTAAGCTATCATTTAGGTCACTCATGTCACATTTTTTGCTTGGGTGGCACGGCTGTGCAAGGGCAAAGAAGGTGCTTAAAAAAAAAAAAAAAAAAAAAATCGAAAAAGTCCTAGGCTACCAGCCGGGCGGCCGGGTCACCCTATTTTCCCGGGCGGCCCTGCCGTGCAAGGACTAGGGAAGGTCCCAGCCAAAAAAAAAAAAATAATAAAAAAAATCAAAATTCGAAAAAAAAAACTACGTTATGCAGAAAAATAAACTGAACAACTTTTGCCTCAAGGTCACATCGAAATTCTTTATCAAGTTTAAAATAAAAATTTAACTTAAAATTTAATTTTTAATTTTTTTATTTTTGGATTTCTTTTTGGCCCGGTTGGGCAAGTGGACCCGGACCACTCTGGTAGCCTAGAAAAAATCTGAAAACAACCTATATTATGTAAAAAAACAAACTAAGCAACTTTTACCCAAGGGTCACATTGAATGTTTTTACAAAATTAAAATTAAACAAATAGTTAAAAAATATTTTTTTAATTTTGAATATATTTGTATTGCTCTTGACCTGGTCGGGCAAGTGGATTCAGGTCACTCTTGTAGCCTAGATCGTTCTTTTCTTTTTTTGTTAACTCCCATGAGGGTGCTAGGGGTGCTGATAAAAGGCGTCACCTCTATCACCGTAGGGGGAGCTTCATTTATTAATTGGGAGCGACACCTGCTGGAAACCGGGTTCAACATCCCTTGTGCAAAACCATGTAGGCACGCAAATGGCATTTAGGAGGTTGTGGGTTCAAGCCTCATCACCGCCTGTGACACACTTAGTAGGTTCTATGACCAACACAAGAGTAAGTGTGAGCATGCGTGGGTTGTGTGTGGTGTGAGAGAGTGTTCTCCATAGCCACCGCTGCTAATCGTTGGGGGGTGGGGGGAGTTGATAGGAGGCGCAGCTACTGGTAACATGCCCCATCTCCATATATGGAAGCATGTGAACGAAATCCTACTGGTTCAATAGAAATCAGCAAGTGGAGGGTGTACCGACTGTGCCAGGTCAATCTCTCTATTGCAGTGGTTTCTTTTTTTAATTAATTTTTTTTAAAAATGTGTGTGAGCTCCTGTTTTAGAAAGTTGTTGTTTGCTTGCATAATGCGCCATAGTGGAGATTGCCTGCCTGGCTATTTGACAGGCTGATTGGTTGCCCGTATGCCTGCCTAGATGTCTGGGTGTTTGTGTGTCTATCTTGTTGTGTGTGTGCCTGTATGGATGTCTGACTTCTTGTCTGTCTGCCTATCTGATGGCCTATCAAGCTGCCCGACTACCTGGCTTGCCTGCCTGCCCCCTTGCTTGGTTGTCTCCCTGCCTGTGTATTTGTCTCTCTCTGTCTGTTTTTCTTTGTCTGTACGTATCTGTTTGTCAGCTTTTGATTGTCCATAACACACTTTCCATCACATGCGGACAGAACCGTACTGGTTCCTTCTTGTTATTATTAAACCAAGATGCAAGGAATATGAGTGAGAACGATATACAGAAAACTACGTTGCAAAATCACGCAGATATTCAAGTAGTCGTGTACGAAGAGGAGAGTATAAATGGGTCAAGATTTTATCCACATAAGAACGATACAATGAACTCATGAGCCAATGTTCAAGCCCTCAGGCCGCACCAACGCAGTATTCACTGTCACTCCTACGGTATGGCGCCCAACGTCCTTCCTACTCTACTTCGCCTATCCTACTACAGCCGCATTCCAACAACAGGCTCACTTTGTCTCTGAAAACCAATGTATATAACGTCAACACCAATGCCGACCTCCCTCATGCACCAAGTACGTATCTCGTCTCCCCTCATCACCCCCTGACCACCACCACGGCCCCCCTTCCCGAAGACCATCGATCACCCTACCCCCTTGCGCCTTGCAGCTCGGTTATGGCCGCTTGTGCCTTGCTGCCCTGCAGCGCCCCACTCACCACTAAGCGCCACATGCGCCCCAGCCAGCAACGCAGCAAGCATACACTTGCGGACTATCGCAGCAGCGTGTCCGCATTGCCTGCGCAGGCCAGAATGTCAAGCCCTGGCTGCCCTCTTTCCTATATGTAAGTGGTGACCTGTGTTGGCTGCGTGTGAGTTTGGCTGGAAGTTTTTTAGTAGCTTCCGATTGGGCCCCAGTATCTATGCCTAGGCCCAAGTCTACAATTGGGGCCTGCGCCCTATGCATTTAGGTTCATCCAGGGCGACGTCCAGCCACAAGTGTTTGTCGCACACTCATTCGTCCGCGGCTACTAAGTGATGTGTCGGCCTCACAAATGCCAACGCCCAGGGCTCAACCACTCGGCTTTGGGCTCAACTGTACAGCACAGCCCATGTTTGTGGAAAAAGCTGGGAGGCTCACGTTTCCTTGTAACCAACTGGTGTGCTGCAACTGTCTGAGTACCCAAATATAGAAAATGTCAAATTTTGGCCTTTTACGCACTCCTTCATTGAGGGAGGGCACAGGGCTTGTTGAGGGTCACTGCCCAAAACATGTGCATGTCTAATAAGGGCCCCGCGAGGGCTCATTCCTCGCAAAGACAGTAAGGCCCCCCAAAAATAATATTTTTGCACTGGTGTTTCGAACCCACTTTCCCTTTTTTTATTCATACATGTCAGGTATTTGCACGTCTATGTTCATTACTTCATTGCTGATCGCATACTTGGCATGTGTGTCATCCTGGCGTCAGCACGTCAACATGTTTGTCCCCATCTTCTTCTTGTGTCTCCGCTTTTCAGCATTTTACAAGTATCTGGACTCATTGGATTCATCCTTCTTCTTCTTGTAAGTGTGAGGCCCTTTGTCTCTTAATCTTTTTTTTTTTTTTTAATTGTAAGTCAAAATTTCATTACACAGATGAAAACGAGGCTGGAAAAAAAATGAAAAAGAAATGAGGCAGGGCAACCGCACAACCCTTACTACTTAGGATGGGACGGACTCGACATGCGGAGTTACGTCTGCTGTTTTTTTGTCATGATTGGTGCAAAAATAAATTGTTTATTTTTGTCAAAAAAAAAAAAAAAACTTCGAAGGTTGTCTAACTACCTCACTATCTGGTTGTTTACCTGCCTGGATATCTGGGTGTTTGTCTATCTATCTGGCTTTGTGTATCTGCCCTGTATTGCTTTCTAGCTCCCTATCTCATTGCCTATCTATTTTTTTCATTGGCTGTTGGATTGCCTGTTTTTCTGTCAGTCCCCACCCTCATTGCATGTCTCCCTCGCTGCCTGCATGCCTGCATGCCTCTCGAACAGTGTGTCTCTCCCTAACTGTCATTCGATTTCTTTGTTTGTTTGTGACATACTTTCTATCACATGTGGGTGAAACCGCACTAATCCTTCTTATTATTATTAAAGCAAAAAATACGAAGCTCTCTCTCTCTCTTTTTTTTTTTTTTTTTTTT